AACGAAATCTTATTCCGTAACTCATACTGACATCGTATGTGTATCTTAGAAAATATGTCTATAATAATGACATGCAATAAAGCTTTATTATTACATATAAATATTGTAAGGAGTCGACCTTTGGTAGCGTAATTGTTCACGCAGATCATATAAAGATAAATGATCAAAATCAAGGGCGACGGCTCGGCGTGGGAGCGATGCACCTTATTCAAATCACTTGAAGCAAAGAAAAAACCGTTTTACAGAAAACCTTTCCAGTTTTTCCGGTAACGTAAGTATCGGATACTCTCGTCGTGATTTAAATAAGGGCATTAACACATTAGTGTCGCGCACGTGCGCATTATATTTACATTTTTCAAGAGACAATTTGACGTACCTTTTTCGTAATTATATAATATTGGGAGTTATGCTGAAAGATATTTTTATAAACTGGTAAAAAACTTTGAGGATTAAATAAACTAACTATTTAATATTATTAAAATTATAGGATTTAATCTATTAGGCATTGGCTATTCTTGATTGGCTTACGGTAGTTGTGACGCTTCTTCTGCTGGTAGAAAAGGCATCTAAATCTTAAAGGTTGAAAAACACCTAAAACGACCTTACGAGAAAATTGCGCCAATAGCAATGGTAATTCAGTGATTAAAAATAAAAGATTTTTTTAACTTTATATATTAGAACTAGGAAGTGTGTCGACGGCCTAATGAAAACAAGATTAGAATGATAGACTAACAACGCAACATATACTAGTAACGTTTAATACAAATGAGCCTTTGTCTATTAATAGTGGCAATGGTGCAATTGCTCAAGTTGTCGCAACATTTCATCAGCTTTAGCTGCCCGAAGTATATAAATAAAAAAGGTATATCAAATTTTGAAAAATATCACTAAAACCTACAAAAAAATTATATGCATGATCTTATATTAAATTTAAATGAAATATCTAATACCAATGTGGTATCGAAAAGTGTGTTAAAAAGGTTTTAAGGTTTCAAATGAATCGAGTTTTCTTAAAAAGACTTTATCCTTTTTCCTTATAAATCAAATTGTAAGAACAGAAACATGAAAATAAAATCATCATACACAAAACCCTTTCAACTTCACTCAAGTCTTGCCTAACTTATTGCAAATATTTTAGAACTTAGGTAACGTACGAGGCTGTTATGGCATTTCCTCCGAGATCTTACCTGCGCCCGCTATTCTTTTCTCAGAACAAATGGTTCTAACCTCGAGATGTTAGTCATCGGAGGCATTTTTGCTAATCATAAGTCAGACGTAAATCGACATTCCGAAAGTTTTGGTACCGCCTTAAAGTCATAACTTACGAGGTTATTTGTGTAGGTGATTCATATTTAATCAATTCCGAATAGAAAAGGAACTTGATTAAACTTTCACTTTGAATTTTTATTCCCCACTTCAAATGTACGTCATAGCAAAATTACTAGTGAACATATAAAAATACATAGTTATTGCATAAATATAACCTAGGAAAAAGCTTGTTTGGCCTAGCGAATTTCTTCCTTTGCATTTAAAAAAAATATTTTATAGCATCTCCTGTCAACTTATTTTTCCCTTATCAAAAAGGTTTAAGGACTTTTTTAAACTAATAAAAGAACACACGAAACTCAGTTTTGTGCGTGATTTGCTACAGGCTGGCTGTAAAAATCAAGCCAAAACATGGAGGTTTATAAAACATGGTGGACTGACCGCACGTGAGTAGGATAACGACAGGGATGATGATGGAACTATAAATCCATTCATTCAATATTCAAACATTCACGGTGGTTGTCACTAGGACATATGGATACTAGAAGTTTTAGTAATATTTCGTGTCATCCTCATTAAATATTTATTTTCCTCGCCTATAGTAATATCACTACTCTAAATATAAATATTTACGAACACAATATGTCACTTTATCGGTCAGTATGTTATTGTGTGTTTTCTTTTGGCTTTAACATTAAATAAAAATATATAGAAAAGTATTTCTACACCACGTTAATGTAGAATACCAAGGTAACAGGAATCGTATGGTCTGGTGTGATTTAATTTTAACTATTAATGTCGTTATCCTTGACTGCATAACACAATTTTCAAAATAAATTACCAAATTATTTTTATTATTCTTAATTTTAACTATAATATTCTCTAGGACAAAGTCACGGGATAAGCTAGTTTTATCTTTTAACGTAATAGTGATGAGCACTAATGCATAGAGCAAATCAAATATGACAGCATCGCTACAACACGGATTTGCATAAACAATGAGCAAACGGGCCCTGGGATTTTCACTAGGTCACTCACAGATTCTCTGAAATCAATGTATCAGGATCTCCCAATAATCTTAGCATTATTCATTATTTCATAAATATTTCCCATACTAATAGTAAAATCCACAAGAAAAGCCTTTTTTATTCCAATACAATCGGCACCGCGTCACACCGTAACGATTTTCTAAGATTTCATTAAAAATAACACCAGACCTAAATTTTACTGACATTATAGATATTATATAATATAATAAAAAAATTCTAAGCATGTGCTATACAAAAGCTATTTTTTATTTACATATACTTTTTTAAAGGCAATTTTATATTAAATGTTATATAAAAATTAACATTTAAAGGGTTACATACATACAGTATCAACTATTAATGTTATAATTAATTTTAATTAAAAAATAATTCTAAATTTTTACTATTTTCAAATAAAAAAGGTAGAATTTTTATTCGGTATTAGTCGATAGTATTGTTAAAAAGAATAATAAAGAATCTTATACGGTGTGATACGAGGAATGATACATAATTAATTGTTTTTGTTATCGTTGCTAAGTAGCGTATTAACAGTTGCATGTTACGGTGGAAACAATGCAATGGGATCTCACAAAACTATATTATAACGACGTCTAGTCTACAAACTTATGAGAGGGACTAGCACGATTTGCGAGAAAGTATTCGTTTATCGCTGTGCTTTATGTTTGCAATTTTCGTGTTAGGCTCCCTGATCCATTGCGACAGTCGTAGCCTAACTTATGTTCCAAAAATATGTTAATTAATTATAATACATTTTTTTTTATAATATATACGCTATATCGTGAAATACCTGTAAAATTTTAATGATAAAAAAGAATGGTATCGGAAAAACAATTTAAATTACATATACGGACATGTTATGTGTTGTCGCTGGACACTTATTTTCGCTTAATACATTTTGACCAAAAAAAACAATGCATCAGTTTGAGCATCTCATGTTATTGTCAATGACCTGATTAAGAAAACTCTATACAACACTTTCGAATTTCTCACTTATTCATGTTTATATTCCACAATTACATAATACCTCTATAGTTATCCTTTTATAGAATACGCGCAATTAATTCATTATGAATAAAGTTCAATCTACGTTCGATATGAGCGGAAAAATGTAACAAATATTGAATTCTACTTAACCGCATACGTATGTACGTATTACGGAAAATTTATTTATACATCCTATATTAATACTTAGTTACGTATAACTAATTTTGATTTATTCTATTTTTGTACTGTTACGTTTAATTAGTGACGCACTTTTTACTATTAATAATATTATTAGACATACGAAATCCCACTGTGTATCACGTCAATATCACAAAGTTTGTTATAAATAGTCCAATTAATAAGGCAAAACTTGAGGCTTATAAGCTTAGTAATAATTAAAAAAAATAAGTTTTACGCTTTAAAGATTCAACATTAGTAATAATATGCCGTTTACAGTTTAATATGCATCAAAATGGGTATTTGTTTTTGAGTCATATTATCATATTTTGTGGTTATGTCATATTAATAATTGCCTATTATTTATAGAAAATAAAAATTAATTTTACACTTAAGAAAAAATTGTGACATATATATATTTTTATAGAATAAAAAGTGAATAGTATCCTTATATAGTTCCAGCAATGGCCGCTAAGAAGTCCGCCATTGTTAACTTATTTTTGAGTATGTTTATTTTGGTAAGTAAAATACAGTAGGCCGGAGTAATGAGCTGCGTACGTGCTCATACTGACGAGAGAAATACAAATTTTAAACACTGGTATTTAATAGGCGAAGGGAATGCTGTAAGCGACCAATCCTGAGGGACTATTTCGGGATTAATGTTGAGAGGCGGACTCTCCCACAGGCGATATACAATAGGACGAACACCCTCTAAACTTGCAAACGATTTCCTAGCTCCGCCTAAATTCTAAATTTAATCCCTTCGAACTGTTTACGTGTGCTACATTTTTATTATCCATCTGCAACTTCAAGGTTTTACCAAATTCTTGTATAATAGTTCCGTCTTATACTGTACCTACATTATTTTTCATCTTTTCTCGTGGATTTAAATACAAATTTCAATGTTTTTTACGAATTAGTAAATTACGTATTCAATCACTCAATCAGAACAAACATCTTTATCAGAGAAATATAGGAAACATGTATCTAACACACAGAGTGTTCCGTTAATCAAAGTATTTTTATTGACATCTATTAATATATTATCGAACGGGAAAATTAGAAATAACAACGGATAATTATTCCGACATTTTTGAATGATATTAATTGTTCTTTTTCATTTAAACAGTTTTTATGAAATATGAATTTGATTTTTAAAATTAAATCATATAAACGATTAAATAAAATTATTGATTACAGTGACGAAGCTCCGCAAACTACGTGACAACTTACAATCTATTAATAATGTAAGTGAATCTAATAATCTAATGTTCACACACCTCTTGGATCCGGTATCGCACATGCACCTATTTATTTGGACAAGGGAGTTGCGTAAGAGCATGTGCTACACTTACGTCCCGCGCGCGCGCGACGCTATCCGTGACGTAATGGCGGGCCCTCTTGCAAACAATCAAAGTTTTTTGCACCCTTTATCACGGGAGCGCCCGCCGGCCACATAAAAGCCGTGGAAATACGTTCAGGACACACATTACAAGTAAAGCGGCCAACTGAACATATCCGTGCCCGCAACGCAACTCGCGGTAGCCGATTCAAACTTTTTTATCTATGCACTTCTAATTCTGCGCGGGAATTCAAAATTTAAAATTACGATTTCGATAACGAAATATGCAAATGTGATTTGAACTTATTTGTGTCGTGCCAGTGACAATTTTAAGTGACCAGTGACTGTTGATACCAAAGATATTTAATCTGTGATATATTTATAAAATTTTCAAGATGTCTGACAGCTGCACATTTTGTAGTTCTTGCAACTTAAGAAAACACGGATCTATGTCGCCTAGATACGGTATGTTTCTATAATTTAAATTGTAACTATATAATCTATACTATAAAAAAAAGAAAAACCTATTCATGATCTAATAAAAGTAAATAGGATAAAGGATTAAAACAAATCGCGTCAGTGATTGCTTTAGACAATACCAATCTAAATGCAAAAGTATAATTATAATCATCTGCAAACCTAATTAGAAAGTAGTACACCCATAACTACACGAACATTTTCAAACCTTTTTGTGTGTAATTTAATTTTAAATGTGAAATACACATTTAACGGGTGAACTTACTTATTCATGTACATCTAATGTACGCTTAGGAAAATACTATAAATATTCTAAAGACAATGTCACACTATTGAAAATTACTCGAAACTTACCGCATAACATTCTAGTAGCGTAAATTTCAATAATACAATAAATTTGACGTACTGACAAATCTTTCTACGACTGTCTATGAAATAGTCTAGTCTGTGGCATGAAACGAGGTTAAGGGTATGCGTGAAGAATGAGCAAAAGCTTTAGAATACGCACAGCTCAGGTGTGATTTATATTGTGGCTCACAAACAATGCTATTTTACATATTGGCAACCCCGAAGCGGTCGCGGAAGCCGGCCTCAAGTTTACGGTAAACTTAAATTAGCCGCTAAAGTGATGTACACAAACACGTTTCAATATTACGTGTGAAATAATTACCAACTAGTTTTTTTTCATCGCTTCTAAACATTAAATCAATAGACAAACAAAATAAATTTACATCCAATTTGTCAACATTCTTACGTCTTCAATTACGATGACCGTAATTGTGTATTGCTTTTGAGGTTAATAAAATTTTAGTTGAATATAATATTTAAATCCCTTATCTCATAACCGTTGGGGCGCACTCGTTAAAAAAATTATAAAAAAGATTTTTCTCAGATTAAAATCCTGTATCTTATTCAAGAGATAAAACATTTAAATGTACTCGCGTATTAAGACATAAGATACAAAGTTCCTTCAGAACGTAATTTTCAAATTATGAGATGAAATATAAATAGAAAGATCCTGGCCGTGTTCATGTTTCTTTTCCATTGCGTTATGATGACGAATCGGCGAATTTGAATCTCTAGCAGACAGTAGCGTGACTAATCGCGAAATAAACGCCACCCGACACCGTTCTTGTAGGCTTTCCGTACATTTTCTGAAAATTTGGGAAATCCGTGACTCAGTCGATGAGACAACCGATTTTCCACATGAAGGCATTATTAACTTCGAAGTAATTGCATCTAATTTAAGTAATCCACATCATGAAACAGTCCCTGCACTTCAATTACGATGCTTATCTAACATTAAAAAAAAAACTTCATAAAAGGGGATCAAATACGTAAGTTTTTAATCTAAAGCTTTCCAACTTTAAAACATTTTTTGTTATTTCTAAACACCAAACAATTCTAAAATTAAATAAAAACTTAATTCTCTATGAAATATTTTTTTTTTTACAGAAAACATTAAACATAAATTAAAAACAAAACTTCTCGTAAGCAGTTCAAATTAAGAAGCAATAATTGATTGTTGAAAATAATAAAACGACATTAGAAAAACAAAATTAACCATTAACGAAATACTTTTGAACATTCAATAATTTAAATTCAGAACACAATACGACTTTGAAATAAAAAAGACGCGATCCTTTTGAAGTTGAAACAATCAAGGACCGGAAAAGACTCTACTTAAACTAATTACAAACTCAATTTCACATAAAAAACAACTAATTGACGAAAGCTGTGTCATCGTGTCACAAGAGACGGACTGTGTTGGGAATCTCCTTCGTTTATTGCTATCGCAAAAAATATACCTCTGTATCATTATTAATCGATTTGGTACATCGCGGTATTTGCCACTGTATATCTCATTTATACAAACTCCTTTGATCTAAACTTTTTTGTGTATATTAAACGAATTGTTTTTAAAATTAAAGAATTGTTGAATTTATGCACGCGTATAATTGCCTCATAATTATCTACTTCGATATTATTAAAATATGTATTATAAAATATTTCACTAATAAATAAAATAAAAATTAAAAATGAGGTGATAAATAAATCATAAATATTCCTATATCTTAATCTATTGATATCATTTTGCCCAGTGTCAATCATCGCCGCATATTTCCTTGCCATGCCAAGTAAATAAATAAAAAACATATTTTTGCATTCCGAATTATAAATAATGGAATGGCTATTAAAATTGTAAACAAAATTCTCTTTCGTCTTACATTAAAAGCACAGGTGCTTCGTCTTTGATCGATTTTAAAAACATCTCAATTTTAAAATACACGAACGCGCAAGGTTGTCCTACTTTTGGCCGTTACATATTGCAAATGCAACTTTTCGTGTTACTAATCGGCTCGTAATGATTCTCTATTGACAATAGCAATAAGCACCCGAGTACAATGACATCGCCTTGTTAACGACGAGACAAAAAACGTGTCAACGCAAACAATACTGGAGCAGTCGTTCAAAAATGTTCATGGTAGTAGGGGCCACAGAATAAAATTTTAGGTAGAAATACTGTGCTTGAACGACCAGTACGCGAAACAATATCTTGTAACTTTTCTAATCTGTGGTCGCAAAAGTTTGTTAAAAGTTGTCGTACCACATTTGTAGGTGCAGGCACATAGGTGAATATGTGATATAATCTCTTCGCAGCCGAGTGTCTTTCCCATGCTTTGGGTGTATTTTTTAATACATTTAGTTTGCTTTCGTGTTTAGTCGTTGGTTTTATTTTCGCGTCCTGTCCGATGTTTGTTCACGACAACTAAGTTGAACCGTAAAAAAGAAAACGAAAGTAACATTTAATGTTCCAAGTATTTGTGTATTGTTTTCTTTTTATAACAATGAATAAAAAAAACGTAACGAACTATTGCGATGCAGTCATCGAATAAAAAAAAACTATCACGACTTAACATGAAATTGAGAGACACAGATAACTAATGCTTTAAGCTGTGATCAAACGTATAAAATCCTGGGAACTTAGACGCAAAAAAAAATTGCTCTCATGCAGTGGTAGGCAAGTATAGGCAAATATAATTGATAAGTGATATATAATTATTAATATCGGTTTTAAATGAGTATGTTATCATTTATAATCTATGATCGGTGGTATGTCGCGGACGCGTGCCGCGGCGACCAACGGCCGATAAAAACTCACTTTAGGATAGACTCATCGATGAATCAGCACAGAACGCGAACCGAATAATTGCTCACTTGCACAAGATTTGGAAAGTGAATGGCACGGAGCTGTATTAATTAGCAAATATTGTCAACAAAATTAAACGGAACTTTTATTTTAAAATATTTTATATTTAAATACATTTTTTATAAAATTGCAAATTAAAGTGTTTGTGCAATTTTAAAATAATTATGCAAGATAATATCAAATTGTGAAATAATTTATTAATGAAAACATTTATTTGATGAAAATAATGAAGCTGAAATTAATACATATTTCCTTTCCTTACAGTTCTGACATCATTTAGTTTCTTGAGAACTTTCCTCTTACGTATTCTCGTAATATTGACAGAAAATAGTGACATTTCATAAATTAAAAGAGTAACCTTAACCAGTATAAATCTGTTTGATTTTTAATTAGTCCATGGATGTTTTCGTAAATTTAAATAAAAATATATGACAGGGATTAAACCTATTCCGATAAATTTGTGACCCAAAATTTTTTTATCTTGCAGATGACACTTAATTAAAATATTGAGGTCGAAGGACCTCTCCGCAAGGGTTGGAGTTCGCTTTCTGTAGCGAGTAAAGGTTTTCGCGTAGTATTTGACCGGCTATTTCATGTACCGCGCGGCATTTCGGCGTTCATTCAACGATCGGAGAGTGCCCGCGCGCCGGTCTCGCACTAGCTCCCCGACGCACGCCGCCGGTACACGCGACCCGAATGTCACATCACTAGTGATCCCTTGTCAAAAGTATCCCAGTGTTTTTTTTTTAATCGATATAAGGCGCGAGTGTTTTCAGCCAGTGTTTTTAATATCGATTTTATTCGCTTTCGACGTTTTTAACGTATTCGGGATTATATTGTTGCATGAATATGGACTTGTCCGAAGGAGCTACATCAATGCCTTGTTCATGGATGTCTTGTTAAATGGTGTGTGTTGTTTATTTTTAAATAATTTTATTAAGTGTTTGATGTAAGTGCATCATCACAAAGTGTGGGTACAAACAAATTTATTTATGATATGATTTGACGTTATATTGCGCCTATTCACGTATATACACCAATAATTATTGGAATTATTAAATTATAAAGTTATTGTAATTATTTTGAAAAAAAAACTAAAAAATAATTTATGTTGCGAATCAATTAAAAATAAGAAAGTTCTTAAAATTTATAACGCAAATATATTAAACTAAGTGATATAGTAAGATAAATAATTATCTATTTCCAAATATAATTTTAAAACATGATGTTGGCAACACATAAAGAATTTGACATAACTTAGAGAGCGGATCGTGTGGGAATGAACAACATTCGATTGGCGGCATTTCATCAAAGGGATTTTTCGCTGAAAACAATACCGCCATGTTATCCGATACGGACAGCATTTTACTCAATAAGATTCTGCCGAATTATTATGCTTAATTTATTTTTCAAGCTGCGATTAGTCAAATTATAAAAAAAACTATTACCATCCATCATCCAGTTATTAAGATCCAGATTTGAATATTAGTCCGTCGTAGCCCTGGGTCGGGTAGACTAAACCCCTAGTCACGTTTTAGTCCTTGGTGTCTTATACATCTTATAAATATTACTAAAGATCCCTATGCGTTTAAATCTTTTAAAAGCGTATTCCACCATTGTTTAAAAGAACAAAAAGAAAAACTTAGCTGTTCAAAAAAAAATTTTATTCATTTAATGTCAATAAACTATAACTAACTTTAGCAAATTTCTCTTGTTAACGTCACCTATTTATAATATTAGTATAAAGCGGAAGAGTTTGTTTGTTTGTTTAAACGCGCTTATCTCAGGAACTACGATTGATAATCCGATTTGAAAAATTAATCTTTTGTTGGAATCTCCATTTATAGAGGAAGGCTTTAGAATATATAACATTACGCTGCGACCAATAGTTTTTTTTTTGAATTCCGCGCGGAAGGAGTCGCGGGCGACAGCTAGTAAATGGTAATCGTAGAAAAGTGTGAATTGTGATCACAAAAGATAACCGCCAGTTAAAGTATCCGGTTAACATTGACGTCATTGTATTAAACAGAAAATAACAAATGACAGTTGTTACGTTTTTTATTATTATTTTTAAATGCTTTCCGAGGCATATCAGTCGTCATAGTTACCTTTCCGCGCTCTTAGCTGGGAAATCCCAGTAACAAATCACGTAATGTATACGAACCTTGTAGTTTTCGTGGTATAACGCATGTCAGCAGTGTTTAATACCAACAATGCGTTTCCATATAAATATTAAATCACTATAAACAAGGGTCACAGAATAAATAATAGTACTACATCACCGGCATTCGTAATGCAGTATGCCAATTTTCGCGCGCAATCCAGTTTCGTCTGTGTAAACTTCCTTGTATTTACTTAACATGTATAAAATTGTCAACGACACGGATTGACCTAGTGATTCATTGACCATAGACACACTTATCCTCATGTGAAGTGACATAAGTAAGGTATAGACACACCCGTCGGGTAATTCAATGAAATGTGAAACTATGACATTTTATTTATATTTTATAAATTTTTATGTAACCAGTTAAAAATTTTATTTTGCAATATTTTATTGTCCATTAGAAACTTTAACTAACTTCTTTCTATTCTTTTTATTGTGAAATTTATGGCAATAATATTATTTTCGGTAATAAATAATTATAAAATTTTACATTTTCGTGTTCGATTTGATCACGAAAATTTAAAATTTTCTTTAACAATATATTTTTGAGTCATATTAAAATTCTACAAACCAATAAATAAATCAACATAATCGATTTCTCAAATTCAACGTTATGATGCTGTAAATGTCCATAACTTTATGTCCTTTACAATTCGTAGCAAATAAAACGTCAAGCAAGAAAGGGGTTTCTACGTTTTAGCACTCGCCGCACAAAGCCGAACGTTTCAAAGTCGATGGTATTTCTTTAAAAGTTCAAAAAGCTACACAACGAAGAATTGCTAGACCTGTCGGGACATAAAACATATTTTATTGCCGACGCAAAACGTCAAAATAAGCGACAAACATCGGACACAACAATATAAAAAGAAAAAAATATAGATTGTACTAGCTGTTGCCCACGACTCCGACCGGGACATAAAAAAAAAATTAACATCTATGTATTCTTCCAGACTATATTATTCATATGCCAAATTTCAGCGAGGTCCATAGAACCGTTCTGGAGATACGTTCTATCAAACATCTAGCCATATTTCCTTACATTCGCATTTATAAAATTAGTAAGAATTATTTCGTTTACAAGAAACAATGTAAAATCTTAAGACGCGAACGGCAATTGATTAAAAAAATCACGTGCGGTGCCCAACCCGGGGCAAAATGGTCGCGGGAAAGTGCCCTGCGATGAAGATAGTATGAACACTTTATGCACAACGTATGCGCGTAGAAATGCCCGCACGATAATCACGGAGCTTATTATTTTTTATGTGTCTCCTCAGACTACGAGCCGCTGAGAACGAAAGCCACGCGAGAGAAATATTTATTACAAACTTATATCTCATTTAAATGCATAATTGAAAAGTCACAAATGCGCATCTACATATGTATGATAACTAACATTTTTGATCTTTTATGCAGCGATTTCATTAGTAACATTTTGTACCGATTACAATCTGTTACTTATGTAAGCACTAAATAATCAATACTTAGCGTTATTTAATCGAACTTTTTATTGTTACAGGTTTTCCCCAAAGGCTTTTGGTAGCTCTATCGGTATTAGTAATATTAGTAACGTTCGCGATGCCCGCTGAAACGCGGTCGATTGAGCACAAAAGGCGGCATCAAAGAAGGCAGCCGGAAGCAATGGCACAACTAACCAAAGACATGCGAGCGACGAGGCATCCAAGCGTCGAACTATATAAGAACGCAACTAGAAAGATTATGAGGAAGTTAAAAAATACAAGAAGATTTTTCAATCAGGAAAGAAAAGAATTAAACGAATCGAAAGATTACAGAGATGGGATGCCGGATTGGTTGCCGGCTGTTAACTTCGTAGATATACATTTCCACGATTATAAGTCGTCAAGAAAAGTTGGATCATCGATTTGGGAGAAAAAGGTAATTTTCTTTTCTATTTCAATTAATTTAATAACAATATTCACCTTAAAAAATCGTTTCGTATTTTACTGTTAAAACTCATATTGATACTAGAAGTATTAACTAAATCATTATTTTTCTGTTACAAAAATTTACTAATTAGTCTATAGTTTTAATAACGTGTAAGCATTTTAATCTAAATCTCTTTAATGCATTAAATTTATTAAGGGACGAAATATATTTGCAGCTATAGAAGACAGTTTAATTACCGCGTCTGATCTCTCGTCTGTACGTTGTGTTCGTCCGCCCATCGCTCTTTTTGCTTCCCGTTCAACGTTTTTACATTATTTTAAAAATTTCTTTTTGCTTTTATTCACGACAAAGGATCCGCGTACATTAGCCCTCGAGGCCGTGCCGTTGCCACGTAAATGAGGTACCGACGAGCCAAATTACACGCGTCTCGTACTTTGTACCGATTTTATTTACTTCAAGTTGTACTTAAGGGCAATAACTAGGAGTGTAAACCCTTAATTTCGCAACGATGATTTTGCGTTTTGAAATAAGAATTAATAATATCTTCGATTTTAAAGTTTGTAATTTGTTAATTTCAGTTTTTATCTTGTTTCAGTTATTTTACGGTCGTTGTAATGACTTAATTTGAGAAACTGATAACAAGCTTCCATTATTTATTTTAGGAAAAAATACTGGCATAAATTATTTTTCTTAATAAGACATGGTTTTGTAATAAGATCTAAACTTGTATATACTTTAGTTATTAATCATTGCTTATCTTAAATTCAAGTATGAATAAATTGAAAGGCACATAGACATATATAAAGTCAAAGCTTTTGTTCCATCTCAGTGGGAGCGAGCTAACCGAGATACGAGTTAAATGTTTCGCGGAAATTTGCATAGATGGACACCGACTGATCCTTGTGCGCACGCGAGCATCATGAATATACATATTTATACAAAACGTTTAAAGCAACTTCGAACTGTATAAATACTTCCACTTAAATAGAATATAAACAATGTATTACTGTTCATAATAACGCGCTAAATGCATTTTTAATAAGTTACCATCGATTGTTAAAGTTTGTTGATTTTTCTTGCCGCCTCCGCACACGAAAATATAAAATACACAAGCCCATTGTAACGGACGTTCAAAAGCTTTTATTATTTACCAAACACAAATCTGGACCGAGACTATTAAATATTCATATTGGACACCCACTAATTAGTACACAAAAGTTAATGCTGTGCTAGACAATAATTGTGTGGACGGTCAAAGTATCCGATGTCCTGATACACCGGCCGACTGTGTCTATGTGGCATGCCATCGACAATTTTATCTCCTAACACATCCATGCCGAGTTCACCAGTATCTACATTGATGGATATTGAATACTTAGTCTATGCCGCGACAGTTTGTCGTTGCATGGCCACTTAAGATATTTAAATATTTGACATTGGGCCAAGGAAAGCGTTAGAATTCAAGTGATCTCAGCTTCGTTCGACTCTTAGTTGACTTACGAACAATTTAAAAATTAAATACTAGTCAAATGAGACGTTAAAACTAAACGGTAAAGATTAGTATGGATGTGTCTTTTAGTATGAATTTACTTTTATTTCATTATCGCTTTTGCAGTTTTGTCATTATAACTAAACTTGGTGCTAAAGTAGTGGGTTAAAATTAAAAATGTAGTGTTAAGCTGGTACTTACTTTGTATCGTTAGCAAAAAGGACTGGCTTTCAGTATGAAAATAAAGGGTGGATATTCCACAATAGTTAGCGCGGCCGCTTTCTCGGTGACACGAGTGGGTTTAAGCGGTCACTCGGAGCGCATTAGTGTTTGCTCAGTATTTACGATTTAACAAAACAACACGAAATGTTAAAAACACATTATTTGCTCGAGTGCGACGAATGTGAACTTACGATTCCGGCGGAGTGTTGCATTTGTCTGCGACACGTTTCGCAGGTTAAGCCCGTCTCTTAAGGCGAATGTACGGCTCATTGTCGGGCTTTCAGCTTGAATACTTCGCCATATTTGTTCACAGGCTCCGACGCTTTTATTATCGTCGGACTCGGCGATTTCTTGGGCGAAGCTCCTCCACAATGGCGATGGAGCGCCGGAGGACGACGTACTATACTTTTATGAACCGTAAAACGTTAACGATTGATTTTAGAAGCGATTGTTTACTAGCGAAGTGTTGTGTGAAGTTAAAATTATAGCAACGTTGGGACGTTACACATATTTCATTAATATGTGACTCAGACACACGTCATACGTTACGTTATACTCGTCATATTAATGAATTTAATGAATGATTGCGTCGGATATTCCTTAATGAGTTTCAGGAACAATGAGTATGCTAGCACGTACCACATATACATTAACTATGTATGAATATAATCTTCATTTTTCCTAGAGCGTGTGTCACCATACGAATTAAATAATCAACTGACGCAAATTACTTCGCTTTACTCAGACGAATTTAACAAACTACGAGAAGTTCGTTATAGTTTATACTATCGGTTATTAATATATTATGAAATCGCACTGCACTAGCTTATTTAATATCAATACAAATATTACTTAACATAAGCATATAACATTGCAATGATAATTGCGATACTAAAATGATGATAAAGATCTTAATAAAATTTATACGAAATCAAAATATTTTGTGACAGTGTAACTTTATCGGCGAACTATTTTTTATGAATAAAAAATTTAAAAACATAAGCTACAATTCTTTTAATTCTGCGCGGACGCAGTCGCGGTTAACAGACATAAGGAAAATTAAGGGCATTACAATTTAAAGTTTAAGGGGTTTATTACGACGATTTACTTTTGAAAATCAATTGAAATAGTGCAATGATGCGTATTTCATTGGATTTGGCAGTAAAAATTCTTTATTAAGATGAGAATTACATGTTTAAAATCGTAAAAACTTTGATACTTGAATACAACCACATAGCTTATAAATCTCAGCGTCTACTAACAAAATAAAGTTATCATTACACGCAAATATTTGCTCCGGTGCAAGACATTTATTTTTAAAAGGCAATAATAAGAGATATGTTACAGGCGCGGAGGCAAACCGGCTGGTCTGGTATTCATATTTACGTTTCGCGTTTTATCCATCATTGTTATAGAACTACGAGTCGAGCCCACTGCAGCTCGTATTGTCGTAGGCCCGATAATTAATTTACCTATATGATTATACGGTTATTTATAACATAAAGTACCTTAAGTTCAAAGTGTCAAGGATCATTATTGTTGATTAGGAATAAAAGTTTTATCCGATGGCATTTCTTACATGTTAAGTCATGTAACTATAATAGTAATAACGCAAATAATGTTTGCGTAATATTTATTTGTATATTTTATAAACCATACAAGCTTCAAAGTTCAGAAAATTCATTTAGTGTGTAGTTCAATGTAATTTACATTTTAGTTAATTGAGTTTTAACTATGTAATAAACAGTTTATAAGCTACGTACAATTAATTAGCTTTTAAAGCAAATATTAGAGATTAGGGAATATCATATTATGTCCACTCTGTTATCCTCCGTAATCTATATTCTCATTATGACCAAACAACATGTTCTAGCTATCTTTAACCATTATAAGGTGATTAATTCAACTGTAAAAATAAAAAAGTAAAAGCAAATCCGGTGTACATTTTATAGACTGAAATATAAAGCTTACAAGTGAATTGAACCTTATACCTAACTGTAATGAGAGCAAACCGTCGCGGGCGCACACAAAGGCTCCACCTTAGTTAGTTATAACTTGCCGCAATCACGCGCCGCACACCTTAAGTGGCCACTAAAACTTAAATAGGTGCAAAATTAAAAACAAAACGGCCATTGAACGTGACGAAAGATACATTTAAGATTCATCAGTACAGTGAACTCGAATTAAAATTAAATTATTACTACCTTTATTGTTAAATCCTGACAAATGTTAATATAGTACTGACAACCGACACAATACCGACATGAAAAAATCGTATCTATAGAATATGTAGTCGAAAATGTTATCGACACAAATATTTTGATGAATTATTTAAATTGCTTAATTAATTATTAAAATGTTAAAGGTTTTAATAAATAATCGTTTTATTATTAAATTAAATAGTAATAAAAATAAAATATAAACTATAAATATTGTTAAATCATATGTCGATGATTTCGCAACCGCAACAATATCACTTCAATACTTTATACCGATCACAAATACTCATGGTTTATAAACAACCTCGACACCAATCAGGCGCGCTCTAAACTATGCACAATATAAAGACAATATTAATTCACGCGCACTTATTGAATATGCGCAAAGTTACGCTAAGTTCACGGCTCATAAAGCTCTCCTTAAGATAAACTTTACACTTACCGTCATTAAAACGAGGCACGATATAAGAATTGATTTCAATATATTGTTATTAACTATCGCCCGTGACTTCGATCGCTTGAAATGTAAGAAATAAGATTAGTAATATTACGTTATAACAACCTAAAAATACCCCTCTTTGAAAAATTAAATAAAATTAACGTATCTTCTCTTTTGTTACAGTTCGCCTATCAAATGCCGAGACTCTACAAATCGTTGAAAGAATATTACGTGCTATTCCAAAAACTGCGCGACGTCGAAGTTGACTTCCCAGACGATCCGTTCAGTATCTACAAGAACGCGCGACAAAAACTCATCAACGCTTCGTTACAACGGCTGTACAGTTCCATTGCGGAGGTCACGGAGAGTATGACAGCAGTCAATATGGACATACCAAACTTTGACATCAGCAAAATGAAGCTAGAAAATTTCCCAATGAAAGTTGACGCGACGCAATGCCTTAAGAATGACTACATAGTGTTCCGAGGTTATGGTAACTTACTCAACAATTGGTACTACGAATTCAGATGTCCGAGAAGTAAAAAGGTGAACAAAAGGTGTGCGGCGTACGAAGAGAAACTTCAAGAGAAAAAGGACAGCAGAAGACCCAAGAATAAAATGAGTTGAGTCTCAGATTACCTTACAGTGGGTTAACCGATTCACATAAACATTATGCTATCTTTGTTTTTTTAATTACAATGACAAGGATGACATGTTTCTGTGGACATGTTTCGGCAGTGTAAACCTCAAATGTTTATTTGTAAAAATCGTACAAACGCCAATTGTGTACTTATTTATTTTTTAGTTAATTGTACGGCTCTCTGTGTAACGTGAGATATTGGATTGCTTGACGAAACATATTATGTTGATTAAGTTATGGGTACTTTCTCTGTGATATTTAGTATTCTGTAGATAATAATTGTTAATTTATTGAAAGTGCTAGTTATTAAGACTTGTAATAAGTTCCTTTTGTACCTTCAATGTTTCTTTCTATCTAAAGCTTTCTATCTTAAAAAATATTTTAACAATATTATTTGCGATTGTGATTTCTATGACTCTTTTCGATTCCTTATATTTTGCAAGAGTATTAACACTATCTAATTTTAATCTCAATAAGTATTACTAGGAGGCGATTTATGCCATTTTAGCCAAGAAAGACTTTTAGCCTATTTATTTTAAGCTGCTTATTTATTTTAACTTTAATTGTAAGTATATTTGTATAAAAATGTGCCGTTTAATTTTTAAATATTGTACTGACGCGATGTGAATTTTACCGACAATATTCTGTAAATGTGTTTGATTTGAAATCTTATAAATTCGACGGAAAAATTAAAACTTATTAAAATGCAAATATATTTTGTTATAAAGTCTAATATGATTTTTTATTCCCTGGTCTCATTTACCTATTTATAAATATTTTTCTGGAAAAATCTAGAAATATTTCAAGACAGTTGATAGTATGAATCCAATAAGGACGAAAAATTTTACCTGCAGTTTTCTTGTGTCACACACTGCTGTGCCTAAAAATCTGTGGACAGTAGTGATAACTCGGCCTTTACTCGATTATCCATTTGTTCTGAAAGGTATAATAGAGATTAATAAAAATGAACATCCTGAAATAACATATCCAAGGAATTATCACTTAAAACTAATATTTTGGTTGAGTATGTTGAATGAAGTCTAATATCCTAATCCTGTCGCATCCGAGGTGCCGAGTGTAGCACCAGCTGTCCAATTCACTTTGTGTGCATAGGAAAGCAGTAAAGCGCTTGGCGTAGAACTGTCTAAAGTATGATATTCCGTCATTAACAAACACAATATAAATGAACATCTAACGTGATAAAGAGAGGAGGGCGTCAAAAAATAAAAAAAATTCTACCGTACCTACTGTAAGCAATGATGCAAACGTTAAAAACTTGGTTTGATTTCAAGTTAAAATAAAGCTAGCGCTATCTATACAAATGTAACCATAACAAATTGAAATGATATCATAGAAATTAGTAATTTTGCTACTGGACACTAGATGGCACACGTGTTGTTAAAAACACGCCTTGTTTAGTTTGATAGAACTCCAACAGATGGCACTTTTACTATCTGATTTTTTTATTGTTATTTTTCTTTACACTATAGCAAAAAATTAAAAAATTGAGTATTTTACTTCCCGTATAATATAAGCTAAATTAAAATAAACTAAAATATTCCATTTAAAAGCAAACCGCTACTGTTAGTATTTTTACCATGTATTTCAATTATCTTATTAAAAACACATTACATATAAAAAAAAGTTCATACAACATATTGTATTGGAAAAAATTAATACACTTAAAATATTTTAACGACATCTCTTGACGGCACTGAACATTTATCTTGTTCATGCAATACTTGGAATCTAAAATCTTTCAATCGAGCGCCATCTATCGACAACTTTAAATTTTATATTTGTATTGAAACTTGTTGAAGCAGTTTTTTTGACAGCTAGGTAGTTTGCCATATCGTTCAACAAAAAAAAAGAAAGATATCTTAACGTAATGAAATTTAGTATAACACTGCCTCGATGTTTGGCATTCCACATCGACGAGTTTTTCGCGTAACTTCCTTCCTCGCACAGCCAGTTACGAATTAAGGGCCTTTATGAAAACAACTAGCCTTAGTCGAACTACTGCTCCTTTGCACCCTTCTCAAAAGAAAATTGCAAAATAAAAGAAAAATGTTTAAAAACAAAATAAAATTTGACGAATAAATAATCTACGACTTACTAGTGTTAGAAAGAAAATCCGACACTGTCGGTGTATCCGTGCAACACTAGCCTTATTAAAATATCAAAGTTTATGTCCCCTCAATAATGAATCCGACTCTTGACTTGGTAACGAAAACGCAACATTCGCCGCCAAAGATTCTAACATGTAATGTTTAAAACTAGTGTAGTAAATGTATGTACATATTAAAACGATATGTAAGATTGCGATAAAGAAATTACAAAGCCGGCCTTCGAACCGGGTTTCGTGTGTGGGTTTCCGTCGACAAACTACCTACATGTCTTGTTTCCAGCGGTAGTAATTTATTGCATGTACTGAGAACTATTATCTACTTATTTATACTTAATATGTAGAACTAAAAAGATTAAAAACGTATGGTTGAGAATACAAAACATGCGTTGTTTTTAATATCTAAACGTATCCACAACACGAGTCTCGGTCTTGAACTTGGATAAATCTGCAACTCTAAAGTAACATAAAGTAAATGATGCTTCAATAAAATAATTCTCATACTTTTTAAACACACTAATTGCCTCCTTGAATATTCATAGCAAAAATGCAAAAATCTGTTACTGGAATTGTTCTTTGGACACAGATCCTAGTTCGATGATTTTAGGGGCTCATCCTTAATCCTTAAAAGATCCTTTTTTGTTTTTGATCGTATTAAATTGGCTTAGATTTTTTATTGAAATTTAGTACATTTTAATTGAACAATAAATTAACGAAATTGTGGAAAGCAAAGTAAAAGCGTTAACATCAAGGTCCTTTGATAAAAATGACAGTTTCGTGCACGACAATAATAGTAATAGAATACACGAACATTTCAAAATTACTAATAATTCATTTTTAGTGTTTTTGGTATAGTAAGATTTATGAATATATAGAAAATTATTTACTTTTACGTACGTTAAGCAATGACTTACTAAAAAAAGCAAAGCCCTAATAATATTAAATAGTTTCACTTTATATATCTTCAGTTCGACTTTCAGAACACCCTGTAATTCAACTGGTAAAATAACCATAAGTAAAAAAGTCATTTAACCCTTGACTAAAATATTCAAGAAATAGTAAACGCCTATTTCTACATGAAAAAAATCATTGGCCACTTATCCATGGAATTAGGTTAATAGCGTTTCTTTATGCTATTTTCAACACGCTCTGTTTAACGAACAAAAGGTTATTTGTTGGTCTAATAATAACTATATAATTACATATAATATTTATCTAAAAGTTATTACAACTAATAATTTACTAACTCTAAACTACAGTAAGAGTATTTACTCTGCACTTTTATATCAAAAAGTTAGTTTACATTAGAAATTATTATGTACCATAATGGGTCTAAGGCCTTCTTCTCTTAAGCGACTGACCGCACGACCGGTTGTCGCGCGAAGGCTATTAGGTACAAACATTGCCGTTATGAATAGCAGTCGCGCACGACCAGAGTCGCACGGTTAGTCGCGCTATTATAAAAAGACTTACACTGTAACTTAAAAACTCATTAATAACTACATATTAAAGACTATTGGTATTGGTTATGACAAGAAAATAATTCTATTTTTAGCAAAAGATCTAACTTAAAGAAGTTTTATAAACCTTAATTTTTAGACTTTATTTACGTACGGCCGCCGGCCTGCCTGTGTCTGTGCCTGATATCTTTATTATTATTATGCAATGCACATTATTTTACAATACTATGTGAGAGTTAAATAAATTAAAAATAAATACGTATAATCTCTCTTCACAATATATATGAACATTAACGTAACGTAAACAACGACTGGATTTATTAGGAAGAAACAATGTCTTTATTGGCAATCACGTCGAATAAGTATTCATGTATTATTATACTAAGAAATGTCTGTCTTGAGACTTAACCGACGAAAATGCATACATTTATAAATGTGGTTTAAGCTAGAGAGGTATGCTAGGATCAAACCAAATGCAAATCTCAGCCTTCTCCTTTGGCTGACGTAAAGTATGTTGTCATCTATAATTTACTAAATCGTCTTTTATAAAATGAAATTAAGAAAGACAATAAAAGTCAACATATGCGAATGCAAGCGATGTTGCGCCGGCGCTTACTAAGACCACCAGCTGATAGAAAGTTGAACAGAACCGTTCAGTTGTTGACAACACACCGACCGTGTCGGACGTCAGTTTGACGCAAATGTTACCGAACGCACGCGGGAAATAGTTGCGTCCTATAGCCGCGTTAACGAATAAAATTATTGAATTTATTTTATTGAAATAAATAATTTAACTAAAATTAAATCTGGAGACTCGCAATATGGGTGTCAGTGCAAAAATTATTATATTACTTTTTACATTTTCCGTGGCTTTTTCTATACCAGTCGGTGACCACAGCACATCTTTCAGCATTAAAGGTAACGATAATTGAATAATAAAAAATAATTAGTCAAAGGGATTCACTTTTTATAACTAATTTATTTTGTAAAAAAAAAAACTATCGAACAATAAAAAAATATAGCAGACCGTAAATTGTCTTAAAAAACTAAGGTTTCTTTGACCAAAAATCACGACAATTTATGGATTAACCAATAAAGCAAAAAAGGTACTGCAATTTTAGTTCCATGTTGCAAAAATCAGGGATTACTTTAGCGGATAATTTGCCACCAATTTTTCTTCATCCATTGACATTGACCTAGTAAGCAATACGTCACGGTCTATCAAATCTACAGAAATATTGTTTCAATACAAAAGAAAATATTTCGTAACAATGCAATACAAGAACATCATAACAGAAACCGTGCTAGGAATCACTAATAATACTTTTATAACTTTCGAAATTTTATTCTTACAATATTTTTAGTAAATTTTGAATACTATATTTAGGATCACATAATTTGCATGTTTAGCAAAATTAAATGATTTCTGTAATAATAATTTATATTTCCGTAATTCTTAAAATAGGAAATGTATGAATGTAGGTAAAGATGGAACAAACATTTCTGCCAAATTGTTTTTTTTTTCTATTCGTCAATAAAACTGGATTAAAAATTATATCTTTGTATTTCATATCAAACTAGTGAAGTCATCGTCAAAATTATAAGGTTAAAAGTTACCAACGCATCGTCCAGCCACAGCCCTGAATTTACGAATAAAATAATAGATTCCCTCGACGTTTCCATTATTCAGAAGTAAATTACCTAATTGCTTCAACCTCCAAACGTAAACAATGAAAACCGAGCGTCTAAATGCGTAATGCTCAGTACTGGATGTTTTCAACGGCATTGTTAATGTTAGTTTCACACAAAGGTAGAATAGTCAGGCAGTACAGTAGGACAGTGCAGTACTATTATTATTTAAACGCTGATACTGAAAAGTCTTGACGATGAGTTTCTACTGTCCTACATAATACCCCGAAAATAATAAAATTGCCATCCTTCTTTTTCTGCTTGAAGAGAAGTAGCAATATGTTCTTTTGACAGTTAAAATTCACGGTTAGTGTGCGTTAAAATAAAAAGTTTACTGCACTGTCTACCACAATACCCCACTGTTCTGCCCTCCTG